TTTGTATTTGAGGAAAAATAGCAGTAAATGTAAATGACAGTATATTTTGGTATTTAACTTTGGGACATTTTGTTTAATACTTTATGATGACAAATTGTGAGACTCAGTCTGAAGGATGGTGCTTCAGTGTGTTTAACTTGGTTAGACAAGATTCTGTTTTCCTCATCCAAGGAGGCAAAGTGTGCGGGTCCAGTTATTTTACTCTTCTCCAGTTTCACGTGACACAGTGGACACATAGCACTGAGTAAGTGTGGGTGGACAGCATAGTGACCCTGACTTACATATATTTTGAAATGAGGGGAACAGTAAATTTAGTTAACATCCATCATCTCATACAGATAAAAAAAAAAAGGAAAAGTGTTTTTTCCTTGTGATGAGCACCCTCAGGATCTGGGCTGTGAACAGCTTTCAGATGCACATGACAGCAGCGTTGACCGCAGTCCCACTGTGCGTCCCTGGGTGTGTTTACCTCACAGCTGGGAGTTTGTGCCACTGACTGCCTTCCTCCATTCTGCCCACTCTCCTCTGTTAACCACAAATCTCATCTTTTGTATTTTGGTTTTATTTTTCAAGATTTACTGATAACTGAGATCATATGGTATTTGGCTTTCTCTGACTTACTTCACGTAGCACAATGCCCTCAAGGTCCGTCCGTGTTGTCGCAAGTGGCAGGATTTCACTTGTTTCTATGGCTGAGTAACCTTCCGTTGTGTATATATATACGCCACTTCACTCACCTGCTAATGGACCCTTGGATGGTCTCCGTCCTGGCAGTTGTAAAAATACTGCTATAAACGTGAAGGAACATAAACCTTTTCAAGTCAGTGTTTCTGTTTCCGTTGGGTCAATACCCAAAGGTGGTGTAGTATTTCTGGGTCATGTTTTTAATTTTTTGAGGAACCTCCTACTGTTTTCACGTGGCTGCACAGATTTACTTTCCCACCACCAGTGCACAAGGGCTCCCTTTCTCCACTTCCTCACCAGCACTTGTTACCTCTTGCCTGTCTGATGACAGCCGTTCTGACAGGTGCGAGGTGCTGTCTCACTGTGGTTTTGATTTGCACTTCCCTGACGATGAGTGACGCCGAGCACCTTTCCATGCACCTCTGGCCGTCTGTGTGCGCACTTTGGAAACACGTCTGTTCAGATCTTCCGTCCTTTGTTTACTCAGATTGCTTTTTGTTGTTGGTGATGAGTTGTATGAGTTCTCTACGTATTTGGGCTATTAATGCTTATCGTATATATGGTTTGCAGTTCTTTTCCCTATTCCATGGGTTGTCTTTTCATTTTGCTGATGGTTTCCTTTATGGTGCAGAAGCTTTGTCATTTGATGTAGTCCCTCCTGTTTATTTTTTGTTGTTCTTTCTTGTGCTTTAGTTGTGATTTCCAAAAAATCATTGCCAAGACTCATGTCAAGGAGCTTTCTCCTTATGTTTCCTTCTAGGAGTTTTATGGTTTCCAGTCTTATAGTTAGGTCTTTAATACATTTCAAGTGAATTTTATGGTGTAAGATAGGGGGCCAGTTTCGTTCTTTCGCGTGTATGTGGCCGTCCAGCTTTCCCATGACCATTTCCTGGAGACTCTCTTTTCTCTGGAGACTGTTCTTGGCTCCCTTGTCAAGTATTACATGAGGGTATACGTGGGTTTATTTCTGGGCTCTTGATTCTGTTCTGTTGGTCAGTGTGTCTGTTTTTATGCCAGGACCATACTGTTCTGATGACTACAGCTTTATAGTCATTTCTTTGACATCAAGAAGTGTGATGCCTTTTGCTTTGTGCTCCTTTCTCAGGATTGCTTTGATGGTTCCATACAAACTTCAGGATTGTTTTCCTACTTCTGTGAAAAATGCCATCGCAATCTCAATAGGGATTGCACTGAATCTACAGATGGCTTTAGGGAATATGGACAATTTTAACAATATTAATTCTTCCAGCCATATTCATGGGATACTTCCAATTTATTTGTATCTTCAGTTTCTTTCAATGTCTTGTAGTTCTCAGTGTAGAAATCTTTCACTTCCTTGTTATATTTATTCCTAAGTATTTTTTGTTTCAGATGTTGTTGTAAATCATTGTTTTATTTTTCAGATAAGTATTGTTAGTGTATAGAAATGGTACTAATTTTTGAATGTTAATTTTGTAACCTGCAGCTTTACTGAATTTATTGAGTAGTTTTAACAGGGTTTTTTTCTTTCTTTCTTTCTTTCTTTCTTTCTTTCTTTCTTTCTTTCTTTTTTTGGTGGAGTCATTAGGATTTTCTGTATATAAAATTATGGATTTAAAAAACAGAAAAAGTTTTACTTCCTCCTTTCCAATTATGATGTTGTTTGTTTCTTTTTCTTCTCTGCTCTGACCAGGACTTTCAGTACTGTGTTGAATTGAAGAGGTGAGAGTGGGCATCCTTATCTTGTTCCTGATCTTCTAGAAAGCTTTCAGCCTTTCGTCATTGAGTATGTTAGTTGTATGATGTTAATAGGTGGCCCCTATTATCATGAGGTATATTCCTTCTGTGCCTGATTTGTGAAGAATTTTTATCATGAATGAATGTTGAATTTTGCCAGATGCTTTTTCTGCATCTATTGAGACGATCATTTTTTCCTTCGTCTTATTGTTGTGATGTATCTCATTTACTTGCTTTGTGTGTTTCAACCATGCTTGCATCCCAGGGATAAACCCCACTTGATCGCAGTGAATGATCCCTTCATTGTGCTGCTGCATTTGGCTTGCTGGTATTTTACTGAAAAGCTTGACATCTGTGTTCATCAGGGATATTGGCCTGTAATTTTCTTTCCTTGTACTGTCCTTTTCTGGCTTTGGTGTCAGGGTAATTCTGGTCTCATAAAATGAGTTGGGAATGCTCCCTGTTCTCGGATTCTCTGTAAGGGTTTGAGGAGGCTTATGTTAATTCTCCTTCAAACGTCTTGTAAACCTGACCAGTGAAGCCACCTGGTCCTGGGCTTTTCTTCACTGGGTGATTTCAAAAAAAATTACTGATTCAGCTTTCTTACTAGTTACATAGGTCTGTTCACGTTCTTTTTTTTTTTTTTTTTTTCCCTTTTCAGTCTCAGTAGGTTGTATGTTTTTGAGACTCTTTCCATGTCTTTTGGTTGTTGGCGTTACAGCTGTTCATAGATTCTCTTGTGGTGGTTCTTCTGTGATGTAAGCTGTAATTTCATAGTAGCTTCTTATGATCCTTGTATTTATGCAGCTGTAATGTCTCCTTTCATTTATACTTTTGTTGATTTTGGTTCTTCCTCTTTTTTCCTTGGTGAGTCTGACGAGAGGTTTGTCAATTTTGTTTGTTTTCAAAGAACCAACTCTTAGTTTTGTAAATCTCTTCTATAATTTCCTTGTTCTCTGTTTCACTTACTTCTTCTCTATCATTTTCTTCATTCTACTAACTTTGGGCTCAGTTCTTCTTGTTCCTTGAGGCATAGTGTCACACTGTTTGAGATCTTTATTGTTTCTGTGAACTTCTCTTTTAGCACAACTATTTTTGCATCCCGTAAGTTCTGGTATGTTGGGTTTCCATTTTTGTCTGTCTCCAAATCTGTTGGTTGCTCGGTTTCTGTGTTATCTGCAGTTTCCAGTTTTCATCTTATTGATGGTGTACATCGTGGTCAGAGAAGGTACTTAGCATGCTTTCAGTCTTCTTGAATTTGCTCAGACGTGTTTTGTGGCCTAACACATGGTCTGTCCTAGGAAATGTTCAATGTGTGCTTGAGAAGAATGTTATTCTGCTTTTGTCGTATGGTGTTCTGTATGTCTGTGAGGTCTGCTGGTCTGAAGTGGTGTGCAGGCTCTCTGTTTCTCTGGATGGTCTGTGTCCATTGCTGAAGGTGAGGTACATTGCATCCCCAGCTGTCACTGTGTTGCTTTTTTTCACCTCTGTTAGTTTTTGTTTTATACATTTATGTGCCCCAGCACTGGGTGCATAAATATTTATGGTTGTACCCTCTTGATGGATTGACCCCTTTATCATTGTATAATGACCTTCTTTATCTCTTTTTACCATTTGTAAAGTCTATTTTGTCTTATATAAGTATAGCTGTCCCTACTTTTTTTTTAGTTACTATTTGCTTGAAATATCTTTCTCCATCTTTTCACTCAGCCTGTTTATCTTTAAGGCTAAAGTGAGTCTCTTATAGGCAGCATATTGTTGGATCTTGTTTTTTAATCCATTCAGTCATTCTGTCTTCTTATTGGAGACTTTAATCCATTTATATTTAATTATTGTTAGGCAAGACACTTTAATTATTTTCTTGCTGTATTATAGACCCATCGTTACTTGCTTTTTATCCTGCTCTTTTTTGTGTGTGTTTTGATGTCTTTTGGTAATTTATGCTTTGACTTCTTTATGTTCTTTTGTGTAATTACCACAGGTATTCCCCTTGGGGTTACCATGGAGATGACATGAAATATTTCACAACACCCTGTTTTAAACTGATAACAACTTAACTTTTTTCTCCCCCTCATATTTTAGGTCATTAATGTTACAGTTTATGTATTTTTTAATATTGTGTATTCAGTAACAGATTATTGGAGTCATAATTGCTTTTAGTACTTTCTAACCTTTAAGCTAGAGGTGTAAGCGAATTATGCACCGCCATTATCATATTACAGACTCTAATTTTGACTATAAATTTACCTATAATAGTGAGTTTTACACCATCTACATATGTTTTTATGATGTTAGAGCCCTTTTATTTTCACCCAGAGAACTTTCAGCATGTCTTGTGAGGCAGATCAGGTGTAATGACACCCTAGCCCTGGCCCTTGTGACAGCGCAGCATCCTCCACATGGGCTCACGCTGAGTGTGCAGTGGGCCGAGCTGTGCTCTCGTGAGCTGCACCTTCTCAGCAGGACCTCTGCTGCAGGGCGACCACTGCTTCCCACGGAGGAGCCTGGGGGCCACGTGTCCTGTCCCACCTGGCGTCTTAAAGCCATTGAGGTTGTTCATGGTCTTGTGTGGCCCGGACATGGCAAACTGACACCTGTTCTTTGTGACCTCCGATTTCCTCTCAGCGGACACAGCACCCCCTCAGGAACATGCCATCTCAGCGAAGGATGCCGGCTGGCCTCCACCCAGAGTGGGGTCAGCAAGCCTAGCCCAAACAAGCCAGAGGGGGCCCCAAGCACCCAGGTCACTGTCGGGGACCCCCAGGCACTGGGTTCAGGCTGCAGTAGTAAGTCCTTGGTCGTGGGGTGGCTAGTTTTCTGCTCTGGTAGACAGTTTTACAGCAGTGCTCACAGGCAGCCTCTTGGCTCAGTGTTCAGCACTGCTTTACTTTTATGTTGCATTTGTAGCATTTCAAATCATTTTAAAGCTAGGTCTGCCCCAGGGGAGATGCCCTTCCCCACTCCCCTCCCCATAAAAAGAAGAGAAAAGCAGCTGTAGTTGGTGAGAGTCTGGGCTGCCTGGGTGTCAGAGTGGCTCCCGGGGAAGGTACTTGACACACAGGACTTCTGGAAACATAGTTCCTTTTTCTCTTTCCTTATTATTACAGTATTTCTATGAATCTAAAGTGCCAGGTACTAATTACAAGACACACCCTGATTTCAGGAATGGAAAAGTTGTATAAAATCATTTGCCTTAGAACCAACAAAATTCTCATAGAGTGCAACTGGAGGTTAGTGCGGGCCTCACTCCCAGCGCTGGTTTGGGTGAAATGTGATTACTTCTCAGTGTGACTTAACATGGGCGACTGTCCTCAGCAGCTCAGAGATTACCTGCAGCCACAGGGAGAAACACCGCGTATGTGGAGGCGGCTGCACTAGAAACGGCGCCAGCTTCTCAGTCTCAGCTCCATGCTGCTGGCTCATAGAATGGTGGCCTGTTTACTTACTCATCAGGGTTGACCTTTCCTCCAACTTCTATCAGATTCAGGGAGCAAGTTTCCGAGGCTGGAAAGATGTGACTTCTCTGTCTTACAAGGATGATGAACAGCACCTGCTGGAAAGGCGCAGACCCCCCAAATCCAGAGGGTGAGTGGTGGCCGCTCCTGGCAGGCAGAGGGCAGGGTGTGCTGGGAGGTAAGTCGGGCTCCTCGCCCTGTGAGGAAGCAGTAGGAGTTGTACTGGTAACAACGCCTGGAGACAGATGAAATGTACATTCAGTAGAAGGTCATGGGGTAACCTGTACGTGTTTGGAAGGATTATGGAAAAGTGGAAAAAAGGCGTCTCAGACAAGCTCTCGAACTTAAGAATTGTAAACCGAACTTACTAGCTTTAAAGGAGCTTGGAGCCATGCTTAAGGTATGTAGTAGTTTCAGAAAATCAAGGAAGATACACAGTTAAAAATGCGAAGATTGGTAAACTGTAAAAGATTTTAGAAGATTGAATATATTTAAGCTAACACTGCTGCTAAGTTATAAGTGTTTTGACGTTTTTAAAGATGTATTTGAAGACGAGAACATATATCAGTGACAACCTGACAGTGTTGCCAGCGCAATGCAGTGTGACAGGCAGGTGAGTCTTGGTGCGCAGGAAACAGGGCACCCTCTGGGGATGGCAGCACCTCTGCACTGCCAGCCACGTGCGGCCTCAGCCTCCTCTGACCACACGGTTGTGCCCTCATACCGTCTCTTTTGTGAGGACTGCGCAGGTCAGTGAAGTCAGTGTCTGCTGTGTCCTGCCCCTCTCAGCCCGGTCAGCGGGACTTGTAAGGGGTCAGGTCTGGATGCCGGTGTTTTTACCACCATGACCTGGGGAGGCTCCCGGCAGCTAAGTGCCACCCCCCACCAGCTGCTGTTTCTTCGTGGTTCCCGGAGCTCTGTATCCTGAGCTTCTGAGCCTGGGAACTCCATGATTAACCTGGTGAGATCGGCTTCATAAATGGAATACTCCCCCACTTCCTAATCCGGACCTGGGCAATCTTTTTTCTCCTTTGCTCAGAGACGAGCACAGCCTCCACATGGCCTTGAGAATCTGCATCCCTGTTGTCTGAGGAGGACATCTTTGCTGGCGTTTTGCCAAGCATGGCACCTTAAATAAGGCATTAATGTCACGTAGTGACTGGCTTTTCCTTTAATATGTTAACATTCCAATTCTAATTTAAATTTGTGTGAGCTTTCTAAACAAGTAAAACTTTTCTTTAAAGAACATTTATAAAATAGACACAAGTTGAGGCCCTAAGATTATTGGATCACCAACACTTAACTCTTTCATCTCCTACAGAACAAATTTACGATTAAAAGAAGAGTTGAAGACTGAGAAGAAATCTGGATTTTGGGACAATTTGGTTTTAAAACAGAATACACAGTCCAAGAAACCAGATGAGATTGAAGGTTGGGAGCCTCCAACACTTGCCCTTGAGGATGTGGCAGCCGACTCAGGGGACACAGAGAGTGACCGTCCGTCCCGGCCAGGTTGGGAGGAGGGCGCCAAGGGCTCCAAGTACACCAGCCTGGCCGGTGCAGGGAACAGCTCCCGCTGGAGCCTCAGGTCGGCCGGGAAGCTAGTCAGCATTCGCCGGCAGAGCAGAGGCCACCTGACGGACAACTGGGAGGAGCTGGAGTGACGGTGTCCGCGGACGGCGCAGCTCCCAAGTATCAAACCAAAATCTGCCTAGTTTTGCACTTTTGCATCTCATTTCACTCAGATTCTTAGAGTTTGCCGCATCGTGGTGATTTTTCAGTAGTGCATCCAGTTGTTTGGTCTTCCCCCTGTGAAGAGAGCAGGGAATCTGCTCTGAGCTGTTTCATTTTTTGACTGTCCTTTTCATATGCTGATTTAGGGAATTCCCAGCATACTGTGATTCCGCAGACCACACAGCGACTGCCTTACCACGGAAACACCCACTCCCTGTCATTCTTGCTGCTGAAAATGGAGACATGAGGCGTTGACGCTGTCCTGGGATGACTGCAGTTCTCCACAAAACCGTCTTCCCGCGTCCTCGGTCGTGCTTCTCTGCTCCTGACTTGACACCTTCTCTGCATGTAGCACCTGTGTAGAGTCTACGACACAAGAATGTAGCGGTTGTGCAATTCCCTTCTGTTGCCAGAAATCTGCAATCCAGGTGTAGAATGAATCTTCCAGTTACGTTACACTGTGTTTAACCTGGCAAACTAAACTCTTCTTTTGTATTAAATTTAAAAATATGTAAGTCATTTGAAAACTGCAGAAGCCAAGGCTGTGCTGGACCCAGCACGAAACGCCACCACTGCCTGCAGACGCAGCTTCGTCTCCTGCCTCCAGTGTGTGCGTCAGGTGGTGACGGTGGTTCTTTCTTATTTACTTCTCCTGAACTTTTGAATATTGATCTTTATTTTCTTCTAAAAATTTGTTCTCCGTTTTTGATCGCAGATTAAAGAATGCTATAAAGCATGGATCAGTTTTAGTAACTAGACACAATTTTTGGGAAATACGGACTTGCTCGTTATGGAGTTATGATTGTATAAAATGCTGGAAGTGCCTCTCTCCTGCACACCCAGGGTTTTATTTCCCTTTGATAAGAGACTGAGGTTGCTGCTGGAGCCCTGGAGCTGCCACACGGTAGCACCACCCCCTCCTGTGTCTCTAGACTTGAACTGTGTCCTTGACTGAGTGACCTCATGTCAGGTACCCAGGCACGTGTCTCCACGGTGGGACAGCTCAGAGCCACAGGAGCACGGGCCTGTCTTAGGTAACGGAGGTTCTGCGAGAAGTTACAGGTTTCTTTGGTTAAAGCCTCCAGTTACACTGTGCGCTCTTCTCATAAAAAAGGCCGCCCTCCGGTTGTTCCCCGAGAGTGTCTATGCTGTTCCATTTAAGGGGCGTCGTGGGCTTTCCCACGGGCTCCGGAGGGGGACAGAGTCATTACCATCTGTCAGTCCATCTGCCTGTGTCTCCGTATCATCTCTTGTTTTAACAGAACAAGAAGTTTACTTCACTGAGCCCTGGAAGAGGAACATGTTGTAAGTGGTGTTCAAATCCATTTTGTGGAGATTTTTGTTTCTTAACAGCAGAGTTGGAAACCTTGCTCCTCAGGTAGATAGCTGAGCACGTAAAGGCACTTGCTGTGGTTGTGCAGACGGCTCTGAGCATGGTCCGCGCTGTGTCACAGCAGGAGCCACTGTGGGTGTCTTGTGCCGATTCCTGCATAGAGGTGGCGGCAGGGACACTGAGACTCTGGGAAGTGAGCCCCGTGGGGTTGGGGGTGGGGATGCTGGCCCCCCCCAGGTCTGCGCACCCGCGAGCAGTGACAGAAGTGCCTGTAGCCCCTCTTGGTTGACGCCCCCAGGATGCACCTGTGTAGTGTTGTTTCTCAATGTGAAGACAAAGCCAGATGGGGTTGGAATACGCAAACCATACTTCTTATCCACAAAAATGAATGTGAAAATGAATTTTTCTTATGTTGTATCTGATCAAATGAAAGTAACTATGTTTGTGGCTTTTAATATATTTATTGGCGTGCTTTGGGGGAAAATATTTTTTCTTGATAGAATTTACCAAAGCAACTTTGTTTTGTTCATCATTTTTAATAGGAAGGGGACTGACTTCAAGGTAGAATTCATCCTTAATGCTGAGGTTTCTTTTAAATAAAGACGTGGTTTGTATCCTCTCACCATCAGTTTGCGTGATTTCCGGCGTCTGCACCTGATGACTTGGGGACCAGTGCTGCGGCCCCGTCTCCGCACTCCCAGCCTCACTTCTGGTGACGACACGTGAGTAAACACTGGCTGCAGGCTCCGTTCTCAAAATGTCATCTTTCGTGAATCTGCATGGCCTTCAAGGACCACGCTGCCCCGGTGTCAGTGCGCGGAAACCTTGGCCAGGGCCAGTTGTGAGTGAGGCCTGGAGAGATCCCCAGCTCCTGGCTGTCCAGCGAGCACGTCCTTCACTTAATCATCTTTCAGCTCAACTTCCAACCCTTTTCCCAAAACAGTGGCCTCTTGGGAGAGGACCCACCAGCTGCTCCTGTGCCTTTTTCCCTGCTGGTCTCTCGGCTCGGACCCACCACTGTCACCCTCCCTGCTCTCCTCTCTCCCCTGCTGGCGCTGAGAAGACTCCGGTCCCATGTTACCTGGAGTGCTGTCCTCCCCCCTACACAACCCCAAGGCCTCTGGACAAGCTTGGCCCGCCTGCCTCTCCTCCCACCTGTTCCGAGCAGGGTGGGGTCTCTGGAATAGATCCCTGCAGACCCTGCTCCCCAGTCCTGGGGCCTGGGCCCCACCCTCACAACCTCCCACCACCACCTGCCTGGGGCAGAGCTGTGGCAGGTGAGCTACGGCCCAGGGCGGGTGGCACTGGCGTGTCTCGTCGGGTCAGAGGCCCTGAAGTGCTGCAGACGTGGGTACCTGGGGTCCAACGTCTTCCTCTCCTGAAAGCACCAAAGATACAGTATTTGTCTTGGGAGAGACTTGATTTCAATAGCAGTTGCTTCTTATCTGATTTCATTGTTTTTTACTGGGAGCAGAGGATCAGGGAGGGAAGCTGGTCGTGTAGGTACTGGAGGCCAGCGCCCGTCTCTGGAGCTCAGTGTCCTTGTTGCTAATGGTGGAAGGAAGGAGGTTTTCCCTGACTCCCTCTGAAGACTGTTTCCTGAACGTGCCCCAGAGCAGTTCCTCAGGTCTGACGTGGAACACGTAACCATGGTGTTTACATCTCAGGTGTACAAGCATTTGTGCCTTTTTCTAGAACCACAAGGAACAATCAGGTACATTACTGTCAGCTAACTAGCGTGCGAAGGTGGTGGAACATGTGCAGCCCTTGCGTCGCGTGCTCATAACAGGAGCTTAGAGGTGGTCTGATTTTCAGTGTGACCTCAGGGCATCCAGAGGGCGGTGGGGACAGGAGAGCTGGTTGTGGGCCCGAGCCGACCTCTTCCTGGAGAGAACCCTTGGGACACGGCTCCAGAGTCAGTGCCAGGGTGACCCCAGGACATGAGGGTTAGTGCCACATCTAGGAGAGCAGCATCACTTTGAAACCGCGAGACACTGTGTCGTCAGCACCCCTGGCCGGGTGCTTCCCCGAGACAGTGACACTGCATCGCATCAGGAGGAAGGGATGACCCTGACCTCTATCTTCTCTCCCTCCTGGAATGTGCTGGAAATAAGGCAGAGGAGCCCGCAGACCATCCTCATGGCAAATGGCGTGAGTCCTTGTCCAGCAGCTCCGTCGTGTTCGTACGAGGATGGGCCACACAGGAATGTGGGCGCTGGCCCCATGTCTGTGCCCTGGGCCGGCGGTGCGGCCCCGGCCAGTGCTGCAGGAAGTGGGCCACCACCATCCGAGGTGAGAGTGGCCCGGGGCACGTCTCACCCGGCACAGGCAAGACCAGCCCGAGTCTGCCCGAGACTGGACGTGGCCTAGAGGGACAGCCACTGCAGCTCGTCCAGCTGCCCAGGTCCAACGGGATTTGGCAGTGAGACTACATGGAGATGAAGGAAGGATGCCATCATCTGAGTTCCTGCATTTTGGTTCCCAAAGTGGAAACTCCAGTGGGAAGAATGTCCCAGGTGAGGAGCCAATCAGACTTCCTGAGAAAACCCCGAGTTCAGAACGGGAAGTGCTTCAACAGAGGACAGGCGAGTGGCCGGCGTGTGGTGAGTGCACCCACACACCACGAGGGACCCGGGAGCCTGCTGGCTCGTGCTCAGCAAGGATGGGTGGTGGGGCCGCCACTGCCCTTGTTCATGGGTGTCCAAGTGAGCTGAAAGCAGGCCACACCAGGATCTGACATTGGTGGTTAGGCCGGACAGATGGGCTCTCTGGTGACCCACCTCTTCTAACCTCCCCATGGGTGGGGGAGAGGGGCAGGGTCACTTTAATTACAGTGAAGCCTCAGGGAGGCC